ATTAGATCAATTAAGATTCTATCAAGGTCATTAAGAGGGGGCGTAAGAACCAGGAGCCCCAGGGGCGCCCCTGTGCACGCAGCGCGAGTGTGCTTGTGTACACCCGTCAACAGGCTCCTGCTCTGGGTGGACACTTCCTGTGCCGAATTTCCAGCTTCCTCCCGGGGAGAGAAATGACCTGTTAGCGCTGGGACTCGCTCACACATGCGCGATGAACGCACGCACACACACACCAAGGTTTTCATTCTTTTAACTCTCCCCAAGTTTTGTGCACAAGTCACAGCTGTGATTTTTTAAAAATGATCACTTTCTTTCATTTAATAATTAAACACTTGTCCCAGGCTGGACTCCATTAGCCAGGCAGGGAGTGAATCTGCAGAACTCAATTTAAATCCCTCGGGCAGATGTGCTTTTTAGGGATCAATGGAGATCAACACTTTAAAATTGATCAATGACTTTCAATTATTCCCTTTCTGGGGATATTAGGGATTTTTCTGGACAGGAGCTGGCCAGGAGCTCAGCTGGGGAGCCCTGACCCAGGCGAGATGTATAAAGAAAACCCAACAGTGTTTTACTCCGAGTCCGAGTTCTAGTAAACATCAGGGGCTCTTTCTGCGCGTGTCCACCGAACACACCACACGCTAGACCAAGACTGCTACAAAGTGAAGCTGAAGGCAATTAAAAAGGATGTTTTCACACTATAATATGCCTTTCTGTTCTTCAAGATGGAAAAAGAATAGCAGTTCAGCTTCTATTTGTGTTCCTGGAGGGAGTATTTAGCAGTTTAGGGATCAGATAATGAGCACACAACTACTTAGGCTCAACAGCATTAGCGCTGTATTTAGCTCCTCTGAGCCACTATTCTTGCACCTGCTTAGACACTGGGCAAAATGCCAATTGTCACCCTCTCCCACCAGGCACAGGGCAAAGACTGGCATGCTGACCCCCGAGGAGCAGAATTCCTCAGCTCTCTCGCCGTCCTGTCCCCTCACTTCCCTTTCTCTGAGGGCCCTGCTCCCGCTCCGGCCTCACGAGCGCCCTCGGCTCCGGAGCTTCTCCCTGGAATACCGCTCTTCCGCAGGTGAACCGAGCCAGGGCATCCCTCCTGCTGCTGGAGGCCCACACTAAACCTTCACGGAATCACCAAGCGGCTCGCTGGGAGTATTTGCAGGTTTTTACATCTCCTCAGGATCTGTGTATTTTATCTAATGAAATACAAGCAGACCCCCCCCCGCCCCCCGCCTGCCTTCTATGGCTTTTTTGCACATCTCCCCTCTCTTCCTCACCGCGGTTCGCCATGGCGGTCTCGATGATGTCCAGGGTGGGGTCATCCTCACAGAGGTCATAGGGCATGTTCCCATCCGAGTTCACCGCCAGCAGGTCAGCACCGCTGTGGAGAGAGAGAGAGAGAGAGAGGCCAGTCGGACACAGGCTCCTCCGCCAACGGCGAAAACAAAAATTCCACATTCCCCACACAGCCTCCCCCGAGAGCATTCACACAGGCACGCGGCCAGACACCCACCCCCTCTCTCTCTGCCCGTCCGAGACCAGGCCCTGCAGGACCACTGCGCTCAGCCCTGGTGCAAACCCAGCTCCGCGTGGTCTGCGAGACGCAGTTAAAGTGCCACAAAATACGGTTCCCACTGCCGAGCAGCTTGATCCATTTCAGGCTCCATGACCTGCAGGGCCGAGGAGATCATCTAACCCCATTCGAGTGCACCTGCAAACCTTTCTGCCTCGAGGCTTCGACTGGAATGAAGAAACACAATGTCCGCTGCAAGCTGCAGCCGATCAAAGCGCCCAAGCCCACAGTCCCACTCACTGGTGGATGAGGATCCTGACGAGGTTGGCATGCCCACAGGTGGCGGCCGCGTGCAGTGGCGTCCACAGCTCGTTGTCCTGGGCATTGACATTGGCCCCGCGATTTAACAGCAGCTTCACCATGTCCTCGTAGTTATCAATGCAGCACTGAGAGAGAAAGAGAGGGGACGAGGGTTAATGCAGACCGACAGTGCCCACTCAGTCACTGTCGTACATCACACCAAGACCCAGTGAGAGGATGCTGCCCAGCCCATCTTCTTGCTGTTACCTTATAGACTTAAAAACGTCCGTCTCCATTCTTAAACAATCCCACTGAGTTGGCCTCAACCACATGTCCTGGAAGTAGGCTGAAGGCTCCCTCAGCCTCCCAATTTCAGTTTAAATGACCCTAGACCCCCTTCTCCACTTCTTGCTAAAGGCAATCCCGAATGCACGCTTTAAGGATACAGAACACCTCAATAAAATATCAACGGAAAACTTTGCAACTTGCAAACTATTGACCTCTTTGCACACATTCCCTTAGACGCTCGCGGCTGTATGTGTCAGAAGTAGACTGTTATGTCGTACTGGATCAAAAGGTTAAGCACTGTTTAGAGAACTGTCTTCACTCCTTGTTCCTGCATAGCTAGATGACAAAAACATAATTCACATTCCAACTGGAACAATTAGCGGGGAGGGATCTAGCATTTGTCTACATTAAAATTTAAACTAGAACAAAAACAGCCTTTAATCTGCCTGGCAGGACCCACTCCCTTCCCAAGAGCCCTCGGCTCAATTAGCGTGCCGAGTCTGGAGAGGGAGGCGGCTGGCAGCTGCCGCAGGGCTGGCCCAGCGAGGAGACGGAGAGAGGGAGGGAACTGAGAGATAGCACGGAAAACAGGAGGACTGTTCCACCTCCCTCGCGGCCCGGCCCGAGCTCCTCAATCAGCGATCCCCTACTCCCCTTTCCACAAACACCGGCCACTTCCTGGTCCCCGCAGAGACCCGTCGTCTTCTCTGCGGCAAGGGTGGCTGTCTGGTTAGGAAAGACAACTTGCTTGCAGTCCGCTCTCACAGACCAGAGGCTGCACTGCAGAGAGCTGTGTGCGCAGCTGATAGGCTGCAGAGAGCCGTGTCCAACTCCCTCCCAGTGCTTGACTGGGCCTGGACTGCGTGCTGTCCTGTGCAGACTGGCAGTGGTGAACTGCATCTGCTTCAAATCGCAGACCCAAGTTCCAGCATCGGACAGTCGCCGAGTTTAGATTTATACATCACTTAATGTAAACAGCACAGAAGAATGTTTCAAGATGCATCACACATGCAAAGACACTGAAGTATTGGCGCGCTGTCCACGCCCTAGGATCTGCAGTAGGTACCACCAACAATATGCTTAGATTACTGCACTCTTACAGAGATTACAGGTTGACCCATAAATCAAAACCTTCTCTCAAGTCAAACGCCACAGTCCTTCAGTTTGGGAATCTAACACTA